CAAAATCCACCATAAACCTTTTGTTTAGTGTCATCCAGTGCACAATTATTCTCGCACCTGATTCCATCCACTCTTGAACCGTGGATTTTTAAAAAATGTTTAAATAATATTGGCTTTATGTGTCTTCAGAAAAAAAGTCTCTCTGCATTACTGGACACTGAGACACCTCCTGATTCACCTTTCCTCAGCACGTCCCTAAATGTTACCCTGTGTGAGAACATTTGGTTAGTAAATCAGTTACCTGGTACTTGAAAAATAAACTATTTGCCCATTAAGTTTGCAGCTATAAAAAAAAATGGAACGATGCAGAGATTTGGTTAGTATCAGTGACTACTGACTTCCTTTGGTAAAATATTAATGAATTCATGAAGGAAATGGCCAACTTGAAAGTAGAAATGAAATGAATCATTACAATACAGAAACATGATCTTAAAAACGTAACTATGTATGTGGGGGAATGGGTGAAATAGATGAGGAGGACTAAGAGGTACAAACTTCCAGTTACAGAATAAATAAGTCATGGGAATGAAAAGTACAGCAAAGGGGGATAGTCAGTAATATTGTAATAATGTTGTATGGTGACGGTACTTACTATTTGTTTTGTAGTATACAAAGGAAGGAATGACCTTGAGGTTATGAAACAAGGAAGGGCAGGAGTCTGACTTCTTGCCCACCCAAGTTGGACTATGGTATACATGAAGAATAAAGTTCTATTGTATGCAGCTGAGAACATTTTGGTGTTTTTGTTTGTTTGTTTTTGTCATCGAGAAAGTGTAACCTGACAAAAAACATGACACGGAACAGGGATAATAAATTTTGTTTGATTATTACTTGTTTCTTTGTTTTAGTGGTAGGTACATGGCTTACTAGGATGTGGTAAGAGACATTAACTAAATAAGAATTATTATAGGGATGACAGCTTTGAAGATTTTCAAATAGATTTTTTGTTTTTAGGTAACAGATCCAGGTAGAAGTGGCATGGTGATATAGTATCATCATTGGCTGATTTATAACAAATTGCTTATAGATCTCTTTGAGTTTTGTTCATCTTAATGAAAAACAAACACTGTAAATATTTAAAAATAGTCAGAAATAGCAACTTACATTTCATAAAGAATATAGACTAATGTACTACTGATAATTATATTTTGTGTCCCATAGTTTTCTATTTTATGTAGGTCTTCTATTCCTAAACCCCTATTGTCCTCGTGAAATTTACATAGGAAATGGACAGACCTTAATGAAGAAGGGGTCTGTCAGAAGATTTGGGGGAGATAATCTTGCCCACAGGATTTCTCCCAGTGTTCTAGAAAATACAGAACCCATCTTTTCCAAAAGTATTGTAGGTATGGACAGGAAAGAGCAAGTGGTTTGCAGCTCTGAACCCTGTTGCTTTAGATGTAGAGGGAACAGAATGGGGTTGGGGTGTTTCAGGCTCAAGGACTTACCAGAGGACAGGAATGATCCAGGATCAACAAATGAAATTCAGAAGGTGCCCCTACAAATCCATAGCATCATTTGATGAAGGTATAAACCACCCAGCACTTCAGCAGACATTAGATAAGCTCCCACCATTTGGTAGGTACAGGCTGGGCCTGAACAAGGCTGTCCACCCTGAACAAGACAGAGAGGGTTCCTCCCCTTATGATGCCTACAGTACAGAGAAGTCAGGTGTGATCCAGCATCCAGGGAATGATAAGAGCCCTGGTGTGGGGAGTGCAGGGCAGTTTGGCTGTAACAGCTGTGTTTGCAAGCGTATCAAGGGCCAGATGGGCCTAATAAGACCACAAAGCCCAGACATGCCACTTGGTTCTGGGGAAGTGGGGGTAGAAGGGGTGGGGAGGGTTGTTAAATATAGGACATAAAAGAGAATAGACAGAAGAGAAGGGAGAGAATAGAGAAAATTTAGCTTGGGTTTAGTGAAGAATAAATTAAAAAGTGATTGACCTAAACACCCAGAAATGACTTTTCTGAGTCAGAAATATGTAAGTACTGAGAACTTACTCAATCACCGCTTTCTATCCGAGCCAGGATGAATCTGTTTTTAAAAATTATAGAGGTTATAGTTCTGATAGGATGAAGGGAAGTGAAGATGAGGAAAACCAGGAAGAAACAAAGAGAGAAACCAAATGTGCATTTCTTCATCTGCACAGTCAACATGAGCAACCACGCTATAAGCCTGAGGTTGTCAAACTGTGCAGCCTGGACCCCATGCTCTTCACACTGAGATAGTATCTGCTCTTCTAAATGGCTAGCCCCATAGGGGACAATTATGCCAGCCACAGAGGAGATGAGGAGCCAAGGAAAGACATGGAGCTGCAACAGGAAAGAGACAAGTCCTCCTTTAACCCATGACTGACATCCGCTGTCCAAGTCAGTGAGCAGGATGAAGGGGCTCAAGGCTGAGTGTGTGTGTGTGTGTGTGTGTTTGTGTGGGTATTGGAGTACCCAAGGTCCTCACCAGAAGATGGAGAGCTGAGGTGGGGGTATGTGGAGAGGAGAGACACCATGGCTACTCTAACAAGGAGGCAGGGTGCTGCTCAGAGGGGACCCACTGCAGAGCCTCGGGAATGTTCTGGACGGACAGGATCTACAGTTTCTCTAGTCATCAATATCTTCTCTGACTTATGTATTTTTAATATATTGATAGAAAGCTTTAAAAGCAATAAAATAACATTATATAATGTATAATGAGAAAAACAGAGCTATTGAAAAAAAAAGGAAGAAAATGAACACTTACATATAAGTGGCCAGAAATAACTAGTTATATTTTGTTGTATGTAGTGGAAGGATATTTTTTTCTATAAATCCACAGACATGCCTACCTTATTAAAAGGCTTTTTTGTTGATGCTGTTTGTTTGTATTGTTTATATTGTTATATTGTTTGTGTTGTTAATATAATCTGAACATTTTCCGTTAAGACTAACCATTCTCCTATAACATTCTTTTTAATTGCCGGTGTACAATCCCAACACATAGACATCCATCAATTATTGAACTGGCATTTAAATTATCAATATTTTGCTATTATATACAATGCTTAAGTCAATATCCTGATGTATAAAATCTTTGTGTACATGCATAAGTATTTCCTAAAAGTAAATTTCTAGAATAAAATTGGTGGCTCAAGAGTCAGACCTTCAAATCTTTGACTCATCCCTACTGAACTCTTCTTCATAAAAGCTGTGTATTGTAGAACCCATTTCCCCACTTGGGATCAGCTAGTTTAATTATGAGTGACCCTGGAATGATCCCTAGACACTTCCAACACTGAAATCAGCAGTGACATGAAGCCACCTCAAAGATGCATACCTCACAGACCTAAGTAACATCATGCACTGCTGTCCGTTTGACAACTACTTGTTACCTTCTAATGACAAGCTGCACAATTTCTGTCTTACAGTCTTGAATATTTCTGAGTCTTTGCCAACTCTATCTGGAGCATTTGTGCACCACTCAGATGCTACCTACCTATCACCGGCCTCACACCAGCTTGATATTATGGACAATCTGGCTTGTCAAGTGACCACTGTAAACCTTCTGAAAATGTATGCAAGCTTCATTAATAACAACAACAACAACAACAACAACCCAACTCCCTAATCAAGACTAGGCTGTAGGGGAAATCTGGAGAACTGGGCTCTGGGTGCTTCAAAAACAGTTACTTATTGATTTCAATTAATCTTCTCCTTTCTGGATATCAATTTCCTTATCTTGAAATGTAGGGGACACGCTAGGTGTTATTTGGCCCTTTTTTCACTACTGGTATTTTATACCTTAATGATGTTGCTTAGCCATTCAAGACTGCGAATTCATCTCCCTTGGACCATGTATTCCTACTTGTAATCCCAGTTTAATAATCCCCTCCTTATCCTAATCACTTAATAAATAGCTTCCTTTGAGTTATTTGTGGAGAGACGCTGTTGTGTGAGTGTGTTTGTGTGTGTATGTGTGTGTGCTTGTGCATGTGCATACGGTTGTATGTGTATTTGCATGAGAAGAATGTGAATATCGCCCCTCCTAGAGAAGAATGCAAATCCTCCAAGAGAAGGCACTCTGTATCCTCCCATCCCTTTTCCTGGTACAGGTTTAGGTCCCACTGCACACAGTGGGTCCCCAGCAAAAGATAACATTATCTCAGCTAATGAGGGTAGGACCTGTGTGGGTGATTCTGTGAGCATGTGGCTATTTACAATAAATGTGCCTTGTTGTGAGAGTGTGTCTCCATGTGCTAGGTATTTGTAAGGTAAAATGGATGAAGAAAACCAGATATATCAGATTCACATGTGTAGGAGTAATTTGGGGGGCATAAACAGGAGCCTTGGCGACAGGATACTCAGGATGAGAGATAGCTTGGAGCAGGCACCATTGGAACACAGACATGACAGTCCAGTGTCGGAAGAGAGCCCCACTCCAGGTGGATGCTCAGAATGATAAACTTTGGGTTCCATTACAAAACAGCTATTGCTGTTTCAGGGATGCCCCCTAAATATAATCACACACACATAACAGTATATGGTATCATGGTTAGATAGATGATGTTTACACTAACTCTTCTGTCTACAGGTCCTACTCATGATGGTAGAATGAAGAAAGGGCAGATTTAACCAATGACGTAAACAGTCAAGAGTGGAATTAAAAGTTATTTAATGAGAGAAGAGTAGGAAATATGCATTCTTCCAATCCAGATTGCCTCTATGCATTCTTCCAATCCAGATTGCCTCTTCAGATGAACCCTGAGCAACTGAGGACCAGCAAAGCCCCTAAAGTCTTCTGCATGATTTAGGGGCTCAAAGGACTCTTCAGAGTATGTAAGGTAAAGTGTCATAGCATGTATTTTTATGATGCTAGTAAGAGAGGGATATGACTCAGGATGAAAATATACTGATTATAATATTTATGCAATGAAGACACAGGAGCAGAAGGGGAGGAGGTAGGCAGCACCTGGCAGTCAGCTCCTCAAGGCCATAGCTTCTTGAAAACATGGCTGTGGACCCTATCATTTCTGCTTGGTCTTCTGCTGGCCTGAGCCTGGGATGATGGTTGAGGGACTTGGCTCTGGTACCTGGGTGTGGCCAGGCTGAGGGACCTTAGGGTAGGCTGAGTCAGGGAACTTGGTGTGACCTGGCTCAAGAATCATGGGATGGCCTGGTTCAGGATACTTCGGGTAGCTTGGCTCAGAATCTTGGTGTTGCCATCCTGTGGAACGCTGGTGTGGCACGGCTCCCTGGTTATTGGGACAAATGGTTCTTGGGGTGGAGGCTGGCAGGGCTGTAGCACTTGTTGCTCCTGAGCTGTGGGGGGAGGGGTGCAGGGCTGTTCTGCTGGTGGGAACTCATACTTCACAGGAGGCTGGACCTACAGACAGAAAACCAACTCAGTGGTTTGGTAAAACAGAAGAAGAAGGCAAGTTTAATGAGAAATATGTCTTATTTCATGACCCTTCAGAAACAAGAGACTCTCTTCCTGTTTCCCTGGTTTTGAGATTGAAGGAAACTTTGGTGGTTCCTGTGAACTTTCAGGAGGAGAAGCTTAAAGGTGATTTACTCTGCTGCAGGGAAGTGGAGTCTTTTTCTGTGCTTCTTTTCTTTCTGTTGATTCTGAAAATCCTTATTAGCAACACAACACAGCAGTCAGCTCCTAGGATTGAATAGAGGCCCCAGGTTTTCAATAACATGAAAAGATGATACAGTCTGGAGTCTACTCTCTCATGTCTACAACATAGGGTACCTTAGCTGTCATATAAAAATTCTGTACAAAACTCCTCAAGCCCACATGATCCTTCCTATGATCCTTGGTTCACATCAATCACTCTGCATGCCTCTGGAAGTCTTTCCCTTCTGTCTCTGCTTGTCCACACATGCCTGCCCATTATGTCTCTCTTCCTAGACATTCTCTGCCAGATTCCAAGTCATCTTCTTTATTTTGCCCCAGTACAATATCAGCCTTGCCTTTCTACTAATCACTTTCCACGCGGTATGTTTGCAAATTACGCTCATGTATTATGCTCTCTGATGGGTTGTAGCTTCATAGAGTAAAGAGAACTGTATCTTTTAAACATCTAAATTGCCAATGCAATGCCTTCAATACTGTGAATTCCCAATAGTTATAATGAGTATTAAAGTGTCACTACAAGTGCCCTGGTCATGAGCTGTAGTTCATATCCTTCTGCTAACTGAACAGATGGGCGACAGAAGCCACTCCCCTTTCTGACCCCAAGTTCCACAGCTATAATCTGAGTGAGAAGTCAAAAAAGATCTATCAAGTAATCTTAAACACAAATTGCATTGCGTTTAAAAGTAAATATATCCTAGCACGGAGAAGAAATCCCAATCTAAAAAAAAAAGCTATGGTGCAAATACTGAAAAAATCGAAGTGGAGAGACTCACCGGTCACGCAGAGAAGTTCGAACTGATAGGCCTCTGAGGTCTGGTGGGGAGTCTCTGGCCAGCTGAATATGAGCCTTGCTTTTATACAGAATATGAGTCTTGCCTTAAGGAAGTGGGATTTTTTTTAGGGCTACTCTATTTTCATTTCAGCTTTTTAAATGAAAATCTCTGGCTGAACATATTTTTGGCACTACTGTTTGACAGTGATGTCACCTGGGGCTGTCCTCACTGTCCACCCTTTGTGGGAGGCTGTTGTGGGTAACAGGATTCTTGGGTGGAGATGACTTAAATCAGGTAGAAGTTCTGGTCTTCTGGGAACAGAAACAACCATGCCTTTTGGGCAGGACCCTGATATTCAGCTCAGATTAATTCCGTTGAGCATTTTAGTTTTCAAAGTGAATATGGAAATGAATAGCAGGAACTGGTTCTTCTGGGAGACCATGGAAAGGTTGGCAATAAGTGAGTCATCTCATTCTCTCTTTCACTTGATCCAGGCCTGCGGCAGGACAGGGAAGGCTAAAGCAGAAATGCTTCACTCTAGAGAGCCGTAAGATGCCATGCTGACCACAGGTGGTAGATGTCACTGAGAATGGGCAGTCAGAATTGACTGGATCTTTCCACATGGGGCATAGCTCTGATTCTCTGAATTCGTACACCATTCACATTCTCTGATCAGGATAAGATGAAACAGAGGTCGCTAAACCAGAGTTGGCCTTAAAGCAAAATCTCTTACTAGCCATGACGCTTGTAAATCCAAACATCCTTACAACTCAGGTATGTGGATCGCTCCTCCCTTCCCACTACTGGTTCCGTGTTACCTCCCATGAACCTGAGCCCTCAGGCACAGACACACCGTGCGCTCCTTCTGTCATTTTCCCAATGCCCTACTTGTGCTATTTGGGATGCTCAGGCAGTGGGCAACTATTGTTTTCACGGAGTGATGTGCAGGTTCATGGAAGGGTGGAAGGCAGGGAGGAAGGGAAGGAGAGAGGGAAAGAGAAAATTGGATTATTTTAGAAAGATGTCTATATACTGCTTTTGACAACCCTAAAGTGACTTCTTGAAAATGATTCATCTTATGACAGGCCTCATGGCAAAAGCTGAGAAGGGGTGAGGACTCATCAGCCTTGCTGTCGGCTTCCTTCCCCACCCATGTTCTCCCCTCTCTGTTAGTGTTGAACCAGCCAACTCCCTCTGGGGTGGTGCAGTGCCACTGTCACACTTAAGCTCTAGTCTCTGGTATCACATTAGCCATCCTCTAGGATGAGTCTCGGTACCTGTCTTCACCAGAACCACCTCTTGGCTGACCTGCTCCAACTAGGATTCTTACTTCCAGAAAAATTTGCTTCTTGCACCTCTGTATGAATGTTTGTCTTCTTTTGTCCTATCTTGATTATAGACTTTGGTTATAGAAGAAATCTCTTCCTTATTTCCTGTCTTCCTTCCTTGGGTGGGCTTTCTTCTGCTTTGTCCTAACCATGCCTTGTTCACTCTACCTAACAAAGGCCTTCCTGGCATCCATCTCTAGAACTTTTAATTCACCCTATCCCTAGTGTTCCTATTTGTTTGGACAAGTATAGTCAATGGCTGGGTGAAAGGCTCTTGATACCCTCAAGAGAAGCTTGGTTTCTTCGCCAGTGCCACATCCACTAAAGAAACTGACCCCGAACAGAGTATTACTTAATCACATTAGTTCTGAATCTGAGTCCTACTTCTAGAGATACCTTGATCTTTCCCACTGGCCCCTTTTTCTGTGGCAGGAGGTTGCTACTGTCCCCATATCAGTGACCAGAGCCTTACTTTGGGCCTGTATATGGATGGCATTAGGTACCTTAAAACACTCTTAGTCTGGGTCCTGCTTTTTTGCCAGTCATGTCTGCATGGACTATTCCCACACATTCCCTTGGAATCTGCCTTTCCTCTCTCGATCCTGAGTTCCAGGATCCCATGGCATGAGATGTTTGTGGGAATTTTCAATGCATTTGTGGAAGTGCAGGCTTGAATAGTTGAATCCTGATGGCCACATTTCCCCATAACTGATATATAATGCTTCTCTCTTTCAATCCTTGGGAAAACACCTCTGAGATAATTTTTTTTCATATTTAATATGCACAATTGAATGAATCTGGACATCACAAACAACTGTGATACCATCACCACAATCAAGAACATAGACATATCCAGAACCTCCCGTTGTTTCTTTCTCTCTGTCTCTCTTTTGCTGTGTGTGTCGTGAGAGGACTTGACATGAGACCTACTCTTTTAAGTTTTAGGCACCCTGTATCTTATTCGTAACTATAGCCATTACATTGCAGAGCAGATCTCTAGGAATGTATTGATCCAGCATAACTGAAACTTTTATTCACTGAGTTACAACTCCCCATTTCCCATACCCCCTCACCCATGAAAACCAATATTGTATTCTCTGCTTCTGAGAATTTGGTTATTTTAGATGCCCCATATAAGTGGAGTCATACAGTATTTGTCCTTCCGTTACTGGCTTATTTTGCTTCACAGAATATTCTTCAGGTTCATTCATATTGCCACAAATGGCAGGATTTCCTTTATGATTGCCAAATAATGTTCCATTTTGTGTCTGTACCATATTTTCTTTATCCGCTCATCTGTCAGTGGGCACTTGTAGTGTTTCTACACCTCGGCTCTTGAGAATAGTGCTACAAAGAGTGTGGGAATGCATGTATCTCCTAGGGATGTTGGTCTCAATTCTTTTGGATAGGGGTCCAGAAGTGGGAAGTCTGGATCACATGGTAGTTATATTTTTAATTTTGAGTTGAATTGCCATACTTTTTTCCACAGCTGCTGCACCATTTTACATTTCCATCAACAATGTTTAAGGGTTTCCATTTCTTTATAATGTTATCAACACTTATATTTTGCTTTTAAAATAATAACCATATAGAGCCACCAAAAACTGAAGAGTCAAAATGAGAAGGAACAAAGTTAGAGGCATCACACTTCCTGATTTTGAACGATGTTACAAAGCTACAAAAATTAAAACAGTACAGTATTGGTATAGAGACAGATATATAAACCAATGGAACAGAATAGAAAGCACAGAAATAAATCCATACATATACAGTCAACTGATCTTTGACAAAGTGCTAAGAACACATATGGGGAAAGAATGATCTCTTTAATTTTTGGACAGATTCTTAACATCAGTTTCTAAATTCAGTATTTTTCCATATGCATATTTTTAACTTTTAATTTTGAAGTAATTATACATTCACAAGAAGGTGCAAAGAAATGTACACCATCATCCAGCCTCCTCCAGTGCTAACATATTGCATGTTGCAAGATATTATCAAAAACAGGGGACTGATCTACAATCCATTGAGCTTGTTCAGATTTCATCAGTTACACATGCACTCGTGTGTGTGTGTGTGTGTGTGTGTGTGTGTATAACTCTGCAATTTTATCACATGTGTAGCTTCACATAACCACCAATGTAATGAAGTGACATGACTTTACCATCACCTCGACTCTCTCATTTTCCCTTTTATAGCTGCACTCATTTCTCCCCCTACGTCCCAACTGGCGGCTGCTAATCAGTTTGCCATCCCCTTAATGATGTTATTTCACCCATGTTATAAATAGAATCATGTAGTTTGTATCCTTTTAAAGTTAACTTTTTTTTTTCACACAGCATAATTCCATTCAGGTTCATTCAAGCTGTATGTGTATCTATATTTCACTCCTTTTTATTGCTAAATAGTATTCCATAGAAATAATGTACCACAGCCTTTTTCATCCTTCCTTCCTTAAGGAACATTGATGAAGCCACTATGAATATTCGTGTATAACTTTCTGTGTGAAAATGTTTTCATTTTTCTGGTATATATGCCCTAATGGAAATTCCTTTCTTTTATTAATGTGTTGTATCATGTTGATTGAAAGGATAAAGAAGATGAAGATGTGATATATATCTATATATATATCCATCCAAAGGATATCCATACTTATACAAAAGTTACTAAAACACTTCTCTATTTCCCAACTACATATCTGTGTGAGGCTGTTTTTTCCCCCATCCTTCAACCAAAACAGCATATCACAACAGGCTGAATGCAGAAGCGGATATGAGAAACCAACTACATGTCATTAACAAAGACATTAAAGGTATTTTTTAAACAGTGCTACTCTTATAACTAATTCTTCTGTTTGGGAAAATGTAGTTGTTTTTATGTGAACATGTTGTGGATTTATATTTGGTATTTTTAATGAATTAATAATAAATATTTGAAGACAACACACACATTTAATTAAACTTACATCTGATTAAGTTTAGTGTCTCAGTCATGCCACTACATTTCATGTATGTGGCTGGTGGCCACTGTACTGGACCATACAGATAGAGAATGTTTCCGTCTCCACAGAAAGTTGTATAGGATGGCTCTGGAATCTGCAAGTATGGCAGGGCTAAGAACGATGCTTTCTCAGCAGATTCCTGGAATGTTACATGGTAACAAATTCAAGAAAGAAGTCAGTTCTCATCACTCTGAGGAGATTATGAGTGAAATCTATTGACAATGCCACCTCCCAATAGAAGAAGAGGCTTTGCTGGAATATGATGGAAATCCTCCCAAAGAAAGAACCATTTATGTTTGTTGTGTTTGAGTCCTGCAAGCTTCTGTGGCTTCTCTGTTTCTGTGGGGGTGGGGTGGGGGAGGCACTGTAGCTGCTGAATGGAGACAGCTTCGCAGGGCAACATGTTGTCTGACATTGTGGACATGGCTAATGCTAAGGTGGGTACTGTGTGGGTGGACACTGGGGTGGTGCTGAGCGCTGGATAAGTAGACACTGAAAAACTAAATGCCAACAATGGCAAGATGAACTCTGTGGGTGTAGGTAAGGTACTGGGTTTTTGGGATTCATGTCTCTAAGTAGTAGAGGGGGCGTGACAAGGACACATGCGTGGAATTCCAGGTGGCAGCAGATAAGCCTGCACTGCATCTCCTTTTCTTTGAACTCAGGGAAGTTTAAAGGAAGCAAGTGAAGTATTAGTGGAGGTGAGAGAAACCAATGCTCCTATTATGAGCTGGGAAATTCCACATCTAATCTGTGATGATATTCTTTGATCAAGTAAATCTATGGATATAATGAACAGCTGCCTTCTTATCTGGCATTTTTTGGTTTTGGCAATTTGTTCTATATTATAAAGATCTTCCATTCTTATGTCATAAGTCAAAGAACATTTTTTTTTCTGAAGTAGCAAATGTTGGTTGGAGTCACCAAATAAGTCCAGGACTCATATTCCAAATTGTATTCAGAATTATGTACCATGAAACTAAAGGTTTTTAGAAAACTACGCAGATATTGTTGCAAAAGATCATACCCTGATTTCTGTCATGTTTTTTCTTGAAAAAAAAATTCGTGAATATCAAGAATTCCAACTCACCCAATTCTCTAATACAGGGTGAGAATCAAATTTTAAAAGAGTGGCAATTATGAGGAATAGGCATTTGTAGGGTAGGTGGGCCCTGTCATTGAGAAGTGGAGCTGCTGGGGTAACACACAGCCCTGTGAAAGTCCTAACAGGATGAGGATGGGGTGGGCCGGAGGCTCTGCTCCCCCCGGGCAGTTTGAATGACAGAAGCCCTGAACATTTGCAGAGAGAGGTTCAGGATTCCCCTCAAATCAACAGCATCTTCTGATCAAGGTACAGACTACTCAGCATCCTAGCAGACATCACATAAGCTCCTACCATTTGGTGGACACCTTGTTCTGCAGAAATGTGGGGTGTCTAGGGTAGGGGCGTTGAGCATATTGCAGAAAAGAGACAGGAGGAGAAGCAACTTGGTGGAGAGTGAAGGACATTATGTAGGAAGATGCAGGAAGCCAGTTGGGAAAGTGGTTGGCATAGACCCCTCAGAAAGAGGCTCTTCTGAGTCAGACACAGGAGGAAAGCACCCGCCGTCCAGTTGAACTTCCTTACAGAACAGTTCTCATCTAAACCAGGTACTATCTTCTTTTTCCTTCAGCAGACACACTCCTAGGACAGAGGAACACGGCACCAGGAAACCAAGATCTATCTACGAAGAGAACGAAATATGCGTTTCTTTGTCCGCACAGATGAGATTGCAGCCGCACCATGCACCTGCAGTTTATCAACCTGTGTGCAGTTTGTCCCCTGAATTCCTCACACAAAAGCAGTACCCTGCCCTCTACTGTTGGCCAGGAGAATGGTGTTCTTTTACTGATGACAAGGGAGTAGAGGGGAGAGAAGCTCACACCTGTCCCAAAACCTCATTTAACGTGGTCACAGGTTCAAAGTCAATGAGCAAGATTGGAGCCCTTGGCTGTGCGTGGGATGGAAAGAGTGATGTCCTGGGGGGTTCCCACAAAAACGATTCAGGGGCGCATTGGGGTTTCATATAGAATATCATTTTAAAGGCTTAATTATACTCCCCTCTTTTCCTTCGGGGAAGCTGGACTGGAAATTGTTGCAGGGCTTCAGGCAGGCTCTGGAAAAAATATTACCTCTAACTCGTCAGCCGATTGGACTGCTTTGGTTTTTGAGATGTGGAAAGAAATGTTAAAAATAAGTTTATTTGGATCTATGAACATGTTTTAAAATATAGAGACGTTCCAAAAATAAAATAAACAATGTGTTTTGTTTTCCATCCCAACATAGCTGCTGGTTTTGTTTTACTGTATTTTCTGCTGGATTTTTAAAAATTTATACAGTATCCCCATGCATTTTAACAAAGTGTTACACACCATAATATTTTCTATGATCTTAAGATTGTCTGAACATTTTCCCATACGACTAAATATTATTTTATGATTGCAGTATATTTCATGACAGATATACAACTTGTTTGATCAAATTTCTCTTTGGGGTAACATGTTGTTTCCCTCCCAGCTCTTTTATTTTCTGTTTTTGCTAATTATGTTTAATGCAGAAGTGCTGATACTTTGAAATAAATCATTGCGTGCCCGAATGCATATTTCCCAGTGGAATGCAGAGGGCATGCAGGTGTGGAAGGACTTTTATAAGATCATTCCTCGACTTTAGGTGCCCAACATCTGTGTGTCCAGCCAGCGTCCCCAGTCCTAGTTGGCCCCTAGAGTTACTTTTGACATTTCCCATCATGCCAGCAAGCAGCAATTTGAAATCCCCTGAACATGGGCAAAGCTTGAAGACCTAGGTGACATCATTCTCTCCTCCCAGTCTGATGGTTACTTACCAACTAGCAAAGCTTTGCTGGATAATTTTTGCCTTACAGTCTCCAAATTTCTCTGGAGTTCTTTTCAAACCTATCTGGAGTGTGTGTGCATCATGCAGGTGTGAGGCAGGTGACAAGCAGTACACCTGGCACCTGACACCTGTTGTCTGCTTCACACCTGCTTGATGTTATTTTACAGATGGGGTTCATTCCCCAGTGACCACTGCAGGTCCTCTGGAAATTCTGTTGGTCTCTCAATCCCTAGATGTTTTGCTTGCCACCAGCAGAGTCAAGAAGACGTCACTTCAGGGAGAGAGCAGAGTCAGAATCTGAAGAGCTGGGCTCTAGGTATGATTCAGAAACATGGCTTCTTGGTGGTCTTGATGAATTATCTTCCTCCTTCTGGGGAAGGACATTGGTTTGTTAATCTGGAAGCTGAATAGGCTTGCTGGGAGCTTTCAAGTGTCTTTTTACCCTAATATTTACCCATGATGACTTGCTCTCCCTCAATTTCAGGCTGACTTTTTGTCTAATGTACATTAACCAGTCTTCCTTCTGAAACCTGTCTAAACTTATGTTTTCTTCTTTGGTGCATTTGCTTTTATTCTCTTCAGAGAAAATAGATGTGTGTGTGGAGTGGGGTGGGAGCGGCAGGGAGGGGAGAGAGAGCACATGCCAGAGAGTAGGGGAAGGTTCATGTGTGCTCTGGTATCAGTGAGTATTTGCATGAGTGTATATTTATGTGGGAAAGGGGTGGATATCACCCTCTTAGGCTTCTCCTAGGCAGGCACTGGATTCTATTCTCTTTTGTCCTGCTAGAGCAGAAAGGTCTCAATGATCAAATCAGCGTGTGTGTGTGTGTGTGTGTGTGTGTGTGGTTTGAGGAGGGTCAGTGTGTGCAGGAGTTTATCTGTGTGTGGGTCTGTATGTTTCAGAGTTGGCTCCATGTGTTGGGGCATCAGCAAGGGAGAATGTATGAAAAGTCATGTTGGAATGTGTGTAAGCACTATTTCTTTCAAAGAATAATAATAATAAAGGAATGAATCAAACGGAAAAAGGGCAACTTGGGAGCCAGAACTAAGCCAGACAGTTTGAAACAGGTACTATCTACACTTAGGAAGGGCTCACTCGGGTGCAGAAGCCCTGCTGTAGCTAAAGCTGCCCAAAATAACAGGCTCTGGGTGGCCTTGACACTGCCAGATCACAGATGACCTGACACACACACACAGACACACACACACACACACACACACGTGCGTACACACACCCACACCCACACACTCAGTGCCAGTGCCAGACCCTTTGCTGCTTTATGTTGAAAAAACAATTAAGAAGGTGGAGTAAGCAAATGACATTCACAGCCAACTGTGGAGTTAAAGTGATTTAATGGGGGGCAGGGCAGGAAAGATCCACTTGATCCCCCAAACCCCTCGTTAGGTGAGCCCTGAGAAGTTAGAAGAGTAGCTCAGCCAGTGAGACTCTCAGGGTCATTCAGAGGCTCGGAGCCCTCCAAAGGAGTGTGAGGGAAATTTTTGTAGAGGGTGCACAGAGGGAGGGTTATGACCCAGAGTGGCAGCATGCTAATTTTGTAATTAGCATAGGCATAGAAGCAGAATGGGAGAGGAGATTCAGCATCCTGTGGTCAGCTCCCCAAGGGCTTGCTTGGCTGTAGACCCATTACTTCTGCTTGGTCTTCTGTTGATCTGGTGCTGGAGTGACCGTTGAGGGACATGGCTCAGGAACCTTGGGGTGGCAGGGCTCTGGCACCTTGGGATGACAGGGCTCTGGAGTCTTGGGGTGGCATGGCTCCTTGGTTTTGGGGACACATGGCTCCTGGGGTGGAGGCTGGCAGGGCTGTTTCACCTGCTGCTGCTGAGGCTGAGGGGGAGGGGGGCAGGGCTGCTTCTGCTGATGAGAACTCATGCTTCACAGGAGGCTGGACCTACAGACACTACAGACAGATCAGACGATTTAAACAGGGATTAACTAGGGTAGAAGCCACGTTCAATGTCAAATAGGTTTCTTCTCAGTCTCCTTTAGATCAAACAGCCTTCATTTCCACTGGCTGTCCCCCCGGCACTTGAAAGTAAAATATGCTTTGATAATTTCTGGGCCATCTCAAGAGAAGGGGCTAAAAGACAATTTGTTCTGCTCCATTTCAGTGGGCTTCATTCCCCCAGCAACATTTCATCTCCAGGCACGTCATATCCCTCATTTACAAGTGCCCAGGACCACACTGAGGTCTTTTTGAAAGTGACATTGTAGAAACAACTGCAGTCTACCCACCCCTACAACCATGCAGCACACCTGTGACTTATAGAATGCCTCTGTGAGTCTCAGCTCCTGTGACCCCACTCTGCCTTTGCTTATACAGTCTGCTCTGAAATGTTCTCCTTCCCATCTCTGCTGGTACAAATATGCCTCCAGTGTAGGCATCATGTGCCATCACCAGAAGATCTTGAACAGGCTCTCCCAAACTGCCAAAGCCCTTTCTTGTCCCTCTGTTCCCATGCCAATCACTATCTGCTTTGCATTTCATCTTTATAGGTGCATGCATTATTTTCCTTGCTAGGCTATGAGCTTGCTGAGGAAGTTATATCACGGTCTGATTTACACCAAGTGCCTAGCATGGTGCCTGAAATATAGCAAACACACAGGAGAGATCTATCTCATGAATTAGCATTTTTATAAGAGTCATAAACAGAAGATAGCGGTGTGCTGAGAGTGTCTGTGTCTGAGTCCTAGTCACGGTCCTGGTGCACTGACTATGGGTACTTACACAGACCTGGCCCCTCCCTGGCTCCCAGTCCCATAGCTATCCATTGAAGTGGCAGACTTACCTGCCCCTAAATTCCCTTCACACCCAAACTGCGCCTTACTCTAAAATGCAGATACCCCAGTACTCTCTCTGTAATTAATACCCCCATCAGCCCTCTTAAACATATGTGCCTTTGTCCAGTTTCCAATAATAAAAAACTAAACATGAATTTCAAATAGTTCCAATCAGAGACTCACCTGGTGCACAGAGAACAGGTTGTCTGGTTGCTCTGGTCTGCTGTGAAGTCAGTGGCCAGCTGGCTTTTTATAGGATGATTGTGCCCTGCCTCAAGGAAACAGAATCACCCCAGGCCCCCTCTGTTTTCATTCCTTACCTGTCAAACATGATTCACCCTACTCCCCTCAATTACCAGTTGGCTCAGCTTTTGTGATGAAAACCACCCACTTGATATTTTTTTGGCACTGGCTGTATGACGATGATGTCACTGGTACCTAATTTCCAGTGCCACCCTCTCCCTTAGACCCAGGCATAGGGTTTGTGTTAGGGGAGGGGTGAGCCACAGGCTTCCTAGAGGGTTTAATGAGTTAACCTTGGAGGAAGATCTGAGTCCTTGTGGCCTTGCTACCTTCTTGCTCTGTCTTCCGTTCTGTGGGATAGAACACATCTGGGCACATGAACATGTGGGAGAGGGGTGCGGAGGAGCTGAGGTGGGCACCACTTGTCTTATGAAAGTAGATGCTAGAGGTCATCGATTGACGTAGGACAGACTTCTTGTCTGGGGGGCTAATACATTTTTCCCATCTTTCTCCTAACTCCACTGAATTACGCACGTTCAGATTACTTAATTATCACCCCCCCAACCCCACCCCTTCCTGACGGGTTGCTAGTCTGGGTAAACCTGCTTTGTCTTTACCAACCACACCTTCACCCCTCTCCTACATCAGAGATTTTCAAAGGCTAATTCGTCTTCTGGGATAACCTTTTCCCTCCACTCCACCCAGCCTTCTGGCCCTGGCCCTTCCTTTCTAACCCAGCTGCATACCACCCACCACCCACCAAAAGCCTAGAAGCCTCTTCTAACTACCTTAGCCCCCATGAGCCCACTCCCACTCCTTTGCCACTTTCAGTTCCAGCCCTGACCCCTGGAGGTCTTGCTGGCTGCAATGTTTTCCTCTCTTGGTATCACCTGGGGGCTCTCCCAGCATCAGAGCTGTGTCTGCTTCAAACCACAGCTTTCCCATGGTGATATTTGTTTCCACATTCATTTAACAAATATTAATCGAGACCCTAGTATATGCCAAGCACGTCTCATTCTGGGAGCTATCCAAGTGTGAAGGCCACTTCCCCTCAACAGACTGGAAGATTCCTAGCACCAGAGACACATCCTACTTCAGAGCCACTAGTTAAACGGATCTCAGAGAGCTTCGGTCTATACTCTTCAAGTGATGATTGGGGAATTTGAGGCTGCCAGAGGTGAAATAACTCCCCCAAAGTCAAATAACAATCCCCACGAGAAAATTAATTCTACATTGAAATTCTGTGTTCTTCTTTGTTTTAGCCCCTCCCTACTCCTAATACCTATACAGGAAATTAAGCCCAGGCAGGGAAATGATTACAGGTGGGAAGGAGAACTCAGATTTCCTGATTTGCAGTTGGGTCCACTCAGCCCTGGGAGAGCTTTATGTGACAGGCAACGTAATGAGAAAAAAGAGCCTTGCCTTTTGGGTAAATCTTTAATCTTTGCTAAGATGAATCCTTTTAGGTAGGAATAAAGCTGCTTAATGTTTGAAGTGGCCTTGGGATTAACAGTAGTATTTCTAGCTCCACTGAAAATAGGAGGGGCATGAATTAGCATAGGTGGAAATAAGGGATTCCTTCACCATATCATCACTCAGTAGACTAGGGTCTGAGAGAGGAAGGGAAAAGCTAAATGCCTGTTTTGAGCCAGAGTTGCTTTCACTTTGGAGAAGACCCCAGGATGGAACAGTGACAGAATCCAAGTATCCTGACTAGTAATGACACTGAGGTTGGCAGTGTGTGAGCAGCCTTTGAGATCCTGCCCAGGCATGCCTTCCTTCCATGATGGTCAGATCCTCAAGATTCTCCTTGCCACAGGCTTCTCTTTTTTTGGGAACACCAGAACAGGGATTCCCAAGGTCTCTACACCAGCAACTCCCTGTGATCAACATAACGTGAAACTGAAGTCACTGGTTCGATGCTGTCCTCAAAACACATCTGTTACTAGGTGTGGCCTTTGGAAAATCCGAATCACCCTTAGAACCCAGGTGCATGGATAGCTCCTCTTCCTCATTCCCCTCCCCTACCCCCAAACATACACCTAAATGTTTGTGGAGCACCTGCTGGTTCCAGCTGGGTCACCTCTAGCGAACTTGAGTCCTGATCAGCCTCTCACTGTGTCTTCCTGGCCATCCTCACAAGGTGCCTGTTGTGTTGTAGTGGCTCAGCAAGCTGGTGATTATAGAATGAATGAGTGAATGAATGAATGAATGAATGAATGGCATCATTTATAAAGAAAGGCCCAGAGGCTGCTGGGAAGTTCCTTGTCCTTGGGGGTTGAGCTGGGAAGAGAAAGAAAGGCTCAGCAAAGGACAAACAGCACTGCCACTGCCTACCCCATGCATCTGCTCATTGTCAGCCAGTCTAGTGACCACCTCCCTCTGACCTGGTCTCAGTGCCATGACCATAGCTGAGCTCCAAGCCTCTCACCTCACCCTGGCTCTCTTCCAGGCTTGGGCTAGGTCCCTATCTTCACCCAAACCTGCTCTCAGGAGGCTCTAACAGGAGGAGCCCCAGGCAGAGCCTGCTGCTCTACCTGGTAGGATCTTTAGCTGGAGGAGCCTGCTTCCTACTCCTCAGTCCTGTAGGGTCACCCAGCTTGTCTCAGGCTCTGGAGGATCTGAACCAAGCTCTGCAGCTGGAATATCTTTTACCCTCCCTGGGCCTTGGCCCTGAATGCCAAGGAATTACCCTGTCACCTGATCCTGCCCTGGCTGACTCTCCTACCTATCTTGGCCTGTGTTCCCTTCACTCCACCCAACGCTGCTCTGGCTCTAGCCTCTGGAACTTTCTGTGACCCCCAACATTATTCTCCCTGTTTTATTTTTTAATCTGAGGCTCATTCAGTGGTTAGTGTTAAGTCTTTTTTCCCTTTCAGGGAAATTCTGTTTCACTATCAGTGTGGGGTTAGTTGGTGAATCTGGCCCCACAAATGACCCACATAAAGAAAGGGAGAAAACAGTGGCTTCCAATGAGAAGTACATCTCCCATGATTTCACAGGATATCCTCTTTAGGACACAGGGGGCTGCTGCTGTTCACACATTAAAACCTGGCTCCCATCTGGACCAGCTGTGAGAAGGTCCTTTAGCTCGGAGTGTGCCTCAGTCTCATCATGCATTTGCAGAGCAGGGAAGGTGGGTAGCTCTGAGCCTTGTCAGTGATCAGGCCCTTTTCTGCTTATGTCATTCCCTCCTCCTGTGCTTCCCCAAGACTCAGAGCATTCAAAGAATTGTCATGCAGAATTCCAACTCTAGTCATTTTACCATGAGGGCCATGTTTAAGACACGCTAACACCTGGAGGCAAGCAGTGCTAAGAGATCCTCCCCCTATCACCTTGAATAGGTAGAGACACCGTTTGAGGCCATGATGGTTTTAAAGAAGTCTCCATAGCACACGAGGTCCTCCATTTGAAAAAAGAGAAGGAAACCAAAGAAAAGACACCAGATCTTAAGCATTTAGAAACCTCTTGAACACCTTGGTCCAGCAGGCAGGAGACATGAAGTTTGCAGGGGTGGATGCTGAGTAGAGAGGAACAGGAGTCCTAGCCCTGGAGAGCCTCCACCCTGGCCCTGGTCCTGGTCCTGGTCCTGGTCCAGGAGAGGGGAAGAGACAAAAGGGAAGGAAGGGGACCCATTCCAGGCCTCTCAGCTGGTTTAGTAGCAGAATCAGGCTAGAGCCTGGGATGCCTGCCTGCCTCTCTATCTCACTGTCACTCTAAAAGCACAGCCCCTTCAGCCTCCCTCTCTTCCCTTCTCAATCCATCAAGGGAGGGATAAAAAAGTTAAATCTGGCTTATCTTACTTGAGGCAGGTAGAAAAATAAGGACCCAGACTTAGTACTGGCCCA